ATAATATCGTATCGTCGGAGGTATGGTGATTCCCACCTCTAGTAGATACGTGTCAGATTTTCATCATCGTCCACCTAAAAAGTCCTGAAGTTATGGTCCACTGTTGTCCACAGCGTTTCACTACACCAACACCAACTACATAATGTTCATCAAGCTCCTGAACATTATTAAGACAGAAACAAAGAATGACATCATCTTCAGTAGATCGTTTTAACTGTTTACTCTTTGCAAACTCTGCCATCAAAGACACGCAGCACCGCAAACCTGTTTCTTCTTTCCAAACACAGCTTCATTTGCTTTGTTAGTACTTGTAGGTAGATTTGGTCTGAGGAAGGTAAGTCATCATATGTACACTCTGCAGAGGAAACGCTAAGAACGGGTAAGCATTGCAAAACATAATGAAGGAAAAACTAATGGTCGAGCTATGATTTGATCCTCTGAGTGATTGGTGCTGGGATGAAGCTGTTTTTCTGCACGTTGGGACTTTGTCCAGAAGAAGAAAGTGAAACTCACTTTGCAACAGCTGCAAGTCGAGTAAAATCGAACCAGTCAACCGGCGTGACTGCCTGGCGTACGTTTAGCTGTGGCCTGTTAGTAAAAATTTGAATGAGCCAGTTTCTGTTCGTTACAGAAAAACTTCGCAACAATGAAACAAGGGAAAAGGACAAAAAGGCTTCGTGAAAGCGCAATAAAATAAAATAAAATCATCGTGTGGAAAGAACTGCTGGTCGTGTCTTCTTGTCTTAGATCTCTTAAACTGAACGTATGACTCTTTTTTAACTATGTTACATGATAACTGTATTCATGTACAACTTTTCAAATGTCATGTTAATAAGTGCTTTACATGAGTATCAGAATAAACCAAAAATAACTGTGAGAATGCAAAGGAAAGGCCTTCTTGTAAAAGTATGTTTTAAGACACGACTTGAAGATCTGGATTTCCCCGGGCAGACTGTTCCACATCCTCCAGGCCTCAACTTCAAACACTCTGCACAGTTTTCGGCGCGGTCCCTGGAACAGACAAAAGACCCCTGCCCGAGGGTCTTATGGGTAGCAGGAGGTCAGAGATCCTATCTTGCATTGACCTGCACTGAGTCTGTGCCCCACAGTTCGAGAAACACTGCATTGCAGAGTGAGAAAGTGAAAAACTGCACTGAGGGCAGATGATGGATGTGGAGGCTTGACCAGCACCATGTCTTTCCCCAGTTCAAACTATAGCAGTTTCATATCTGGGGATTCCTACGTCTAATAACCAGCAGCGGCCTTGAATACTAGCTGTCCTGCTAATTCTGTCTACCACTAAAAATAATGCACTTTGGATGTTCTTGCACATTGGTTTCACTTTTCAGATGTTGAAGCTATTTCCATATTTTATGTCTAACATTTTTGGCCACACTAATTTGCTCTAATTTTTTTAAAAAAAATCTATTTATATTACACTCAAAAAAATAACTCTTTGAATGAACATAAAAAAATCATGGAAAGAATTTCCACGTTATTAAATTGCTTTATTTTAGCATTATGCAATTCTGTTATTCCAACTTAATGTACTTGAGTTGGACTAACTTGATTAATTAATGACAAATCAACTGTTTTACTACAGTAGAGTCCAACTTATTTTAATTGATTTGATCCAACCCATGCAAATTACGTTAGTGCAACAAAACATGCTTATTCGTAATAGAAATCCATTTATTAATCCACTTATTTTAAGTTAATTTAAAGAGTTATTTTTTTTGGAGTGTTCAACAAAGTCTAGAGTCTGGTTAACATAAAATGTTAATGGATTTATAATAACTTGCACTCCCATCCATCCTCTTATCTTTACCAGGGTTGCAGTGAGCCTGGGCCCTATTCCAGATGTGATAGGGTGGGAGTCAGAATACTGGACAGGTCACCAGTCTATCACAGAGAGACAGACAACCATTTGCCCTCATGTTCACAGATATTTTAGAAACACCAATTAACCTAACCCTAATTACTGCATGACTTTAACTGTGGCAGGAAACCAGAGAGAACCCACTGCAAACTTGGCCAGATTGCAGATTTGAACCCAAGACCTTCTTGCTGCGAGGCAACAGTGCTAACCACTGTGCCACCGAGCTGTCAATCTAGTCTTCAAATAGGGAAACTATGATTACAAGACTTTATATAGAATTTTAAAAACCACAATAAATAGCTGAGGCATAGACGTAGTGTATGTATGGTTGTCTGTCTCTTCTAACCCCAGTGATTTTCCTGTGGTTTGAACTCTTGTGTGATCTTGTGAATTTTGTGAATCCAGGCAACTAACCACTCTTACTAGATTGTATCAGGTCATCTCAACAAGAATAAATTAAGTTGCTGGATTTCATGCAGATCCTACATGATTTCATTACGTTCACCACAGAAACACAGAAAGAAAATTTAACAACCACCCAATTTCATTTTTTTGAGTGTATAAATGAGGTCATCTACTTAAAAAGTTTACTGTGTAACACCAATCAGATTCCTCACTCATTACTTTGTTCTCTGCTGTCTTCCAGGTCATGGAGGAGATCACTAATGTCATCACACACTCATCCGCTGCCTCGTCTTCCTCCTCCACATCGGGCTCCCACACACGGCAAACCAAAGAGAAGCAACCCTCTCAGGGTTTTCAGCAGAAAACGGCAGATGATTCTCTCATCCAGGTCATAAAGAAGCTCAGCAAGATTGTGGAGAAGCGGCCCCAGCGTCGCTGCGCATCAGGGGGACAGAAAAGAGCGCTCCAAGTGGGGGAAAGGGGAGCCGAGCAGGGGGGCGGCTCTATATGTAAGAAAATTAAAAGGAACTTAAAGGATGAGGTGGGAGTAGAGCGCAGCACAGACGACAGCAGTCTTCCCTCACCTTGGTCAGGTGACGATAACAACAACGTGACCACCGCGGTGGCAGAGGTAGCTGCCAACCCCAACAGCAGCGACCTCAAGCGGACGGTGACGTGCTATCAGTGCAGCCTGTGCCCCCATCTCTCCCAAACGCTGCCCCTGCTGAAAGAACACCTGAAGCAGCACAACGAGCAGCACAGTGACCTCATCCTCATGTGCTCCGAGTGTCACTTTACCTCCAGAGACCACGAGCAGCTGGAGGCGCACGTCAGGATGCACTTTGACAATGGAGACAACCAGAAGAGAAAGTACCCGGTGAGCGAGGCGAAGGAAGAGGTTTTAAAAAACCAGGATGTGGATCTAACAGGTGACAACTGCAGCGCAGGAACCGAAGTGAAGAAAAGCTCAGTGAGCAATGCTAAGGAGTTACCACAGAAGAAGAAGTGGTACAGCTACGAGGAGTATGGCCTGTACCGCTGCCTGATCTGCAGCTATGTTTGCAGTCAGCAGCGAATGCTCAAAACCCACGCCTGGAAGCACGCCGGCCTCGTCGACTGCTCCTATCCAATCTTTGAGGATGAAGACGGAGGTTCTGCAAAGAGAGAGGTGCAAGCTGCTCCTAACAATGCGTCCGCCAGAGAGGAAATAGTTGTTCTTCAAGATAAAAGCCTGCAAAAGCTCCCTACCGGCTTCAAGCTGCAGCTCTGCATGCCCGTGGCTGTCGAGGACAAACAGGAAGTGGTGAATCTTCAAGGCTCTCATCTCAGTGAAAGTCCAAAAACAGAAGAAGAGGACGAGTACCCCATCAAAGACATGACGTCTGAGGAGCCCGCGGTGGAGGTGCAGGTGACCACTGAGGCAGAGACGGAGGTGGAGCTAGGCGGTCACCATGAAAGCACCTCTGCGACCGACAGCTTGCTGTCGTCGGCTCAGAAGATCATCAACAGAAGCCCCAACAGCGCCGGCCATATCAATGTGATCGTAGAGCGCCTTCCTTCAGCTGAGGACTCGGTCATGGCCTCTAACCCACTTCTTCTCAGCCCAGATGTGGACGGGGATAAGAGCTTACTGGAGAAAAAAGCAGAAGAGCAGGAGCACGTGGAAGGTGTGAAAGATGAGGTGGTCCTCTGCTACAGTCCGGGGAACGCTAACAAAAGCCAGCATTTAGGAGCCGATATCAAACCCTCCATCGCTAAAAGTAACGACCTTCCACGGGATGAAAACGTCCCCCCAGCTGGTCGCAAGAGGACGCACTCGGAGTCTCTCCGCCTCCACTCACTGGCTGCCGAAGTCCTCGTGGCTATGCCTATGAGGACGCCCGAGCTGCCCAACTCTGGCGCCAAGGTAGCTCTGAAGACCGTTGCGGCACAGGCGCAGAGCCCGCAAGCAGGCCAGAAACCCACAGAGGGGGCTGCAGCCGGACAGAAGGCCTCTGACGTGGGAACGGCAGCAGCTATGCTGAACTGTAATGAGGGCAGAGAGGAAACTCTAGGATCTCTGGGCCTGGGCAAAGGAGACGACGACGGGCCTGCAGCTAATGGCGGGATCAGCCTTTCCCTGCTCACGGTCATTGAAAGACTGAGGGAGCGCTCAGACCAGAACACCTCGGACGAAGACATCTTGAAAGAGCTTCAAGATAACGCACAGTTCCAAAGTGGAGCTGGAGTGGTCGCGGCGAACGGAGCGGGCAGTTACGTGTGCTCCAGCGTCCCAGGGATGGACGGGTTGGTCGGCTCTCCTGACAGCGGTCTGGTGGATTACATCCCAGGCAGCGATAGGCCGTATCGCTGCCGCCTGTGTCGCTACAGCAGTGGCAACAAGGGCTACATTAAACAGCACCTGCGGGTGCACAGGCAGAGGGAGCCGTATCAGTGTCCCATCTGTGAGCACATCGCCTCAGACAGCAAAGACCTGGAAAACCACATGATCCACCACTGCAAGAGCCGGATGTACCAGTGCAAGCAGTGTCCAGATGCCTTCCACTACAAGGTGAGTGCGGTCCTTTCATTTGAAACATGTTTTAATCTAACCTCCTTCTTTCCAACATCTCACATGTGAGGATTTTCTGATGTTGTAGTTGTAGGAGTGAGTTTATCTTACTTTATTCAGAAGGGATGAAATGTGAACTAAAGCTATCACAAAGAACAGGGTGTAAAAGGGGTATCAAGAGCATCAGTGTTGAACAAATGGAGCACAATAATCACTTATATCAGCGGTCTCCAACCTTTTTTGCGCCACGGACCGGTTTATGCCCGACAATATTTTCACGGACCGGCCTTTAACCCTTTAAAACTGGTTGGAGCGGGCACGCTCTGTTTTGCGTAACTATTTTTAAATCCCGGTAGCTCTGCAACCACGT